TCACCAGGGACTCAAGGGGGCCCAAGGAAGTCACTCTTGCCCCCTGGGCTCTCACTTCCCCGGTGGCAATGTCACACCCCCATGCACACCCCACCCTCACCCCGACTTCATTGCTGTTAACAGCTAGCTCTGCTCCAGCCTTGGATCTTTCTTTGCTCTCTTTCTAGCGCTGGACATTGCTGTCGGTGGCCTCCTGGGGCCAACGTGGGGCTGGGTGGGGGATGGCCAATCTGTTGATCCTCAGAGGCAGTCGATGCCAGGTGCAAGTCCCGGCCTTGCCCTGGGCAGTGCCCCCTTGAACAGTCCCTTTACGTCTTCATCTGGATGGGGATGGAGTGGGATGGGGGGGTAAGTGGGGCAGTAGGTAGCATGAGGACAACTTCAGCTCCAGTTAGGTCCTCAGAACCATCCCATCGCCAGCCCCACCCTAGCGACTGCATGTCACCTGGGCTCAGCACAAAGGGGCATTTTGATTTAGAGGTAAGAGCTTCAAGAGTAGCAGGGGGAAGGGATGAACGGAGACCCTTGGTCTGCCCAACTCTGGTCCCTGTCCCCAAGAGGGAGTCCTGATAGGGGCAGGGAAGCCTGGTCCAGCCCTGACTTAAGCAAACCCAAGAACTGACCTGGGAATGCTTTCAAGGCAACTCCGGTTTCCAAGCTGTGGCTGCTTTGCAGTTGCCCCGGTCGGAGTTCCGCGATGACCAGAACCGTCTCTTAGGCCTGAGGGGCAGGCCCTCGGCAGATGCAGGGGAGTCGGGAGTGTGAGGCGAGTAAGAGCAGGAATGGAGTAAAAGAAGAGGCTTTGAAGGGAAGGAACAGACCCCACAGCACGGGATCCTGACAGGCCCCTGGAGAGAGATGGCCGGCCAGAGAGAGCCTGGAACGGGGAGAAAGACAACGGACAGAGAAGAAGCTATGCCAGTGTAGCCTTGGGTTTGGCGACCTCCTGTCCCGTGCTGTAATGGCCCTCCACTACTTCAGCCTGCAGAACAAGTCTGCTACATGCCTCCTCCTGGGGAAGGGGGGTGCTTGCCATGGGGAACACAGGCGCGGGAGCACTTCCTTCATGTGTGTCTCGGGGTCAAATGGAGGCAGCAGGGCAGGAGGAAGGGGAATGGCCAGAGGGAGGAGGACAGTTCAGCCGGACTTGGAAGCAAGAGCACATGGGCAAGCGCCCCTCGTCTCAGAAACAGGGGGCTCCCCGTGTGCAGGGTGTGGGTGAACGTTCTTTTAGCTAGGTGTTAAAGGACAGGACGTGGGGGTGCCATCAGGCCAGCTCGGGTTTTAAGCAGGATGGACAAGTGACGTAAAGGAGAACCCAGCCTTGGAAAGGTGTGCCTGCTACTAGTTGTGTGAGCAGCCCATCAACAGACCCGGCCTAGTCTGCACAAGCACAGGCAGCAGTGCAGCTGTTGCTGATGGGGGACATCCGATCGGTGCTGCCTCATCAGGACACACAGCAGGACGAAACAGCTCCCAGTCCCGCGTGAGCCTCACGTGTGTTCTTTGTTTGAGCCCACTGTTGCTGCCACCATGTCAATCCAGCTCACCGAGGGCTTTCCTCTTTTGAGTTGCCCCTCCACGTCATCAAGCATGATGTCCTTCTCCAACGTCCGGTCTCTCCTGAGAACACGTCCAAAGTACTTGAGATGAAGGCTGGCCATCCGTGCTTCTAAGGATCCTTCTGGCTGTACTTCTTCCAAGACAGATGTTTGTTCTTTTGGCAGTCCATGGTACTTTCAATAGTCTTCATCAGGGTCATCGTTAAAATGCATTGATTTTTCTTCGGTCTCCCTTACTGTGTGAGTCTGGGTAGACTAGAGAAACAAATTCATAAGCATATGTATATAAGGGAGAGGTTTATGTACAAGAGCAACTGAACATTAAGAAAACATCCCAGCCCAATCCAGATCAAGTCCATAAGTCTGATATTAGCCCATAGGTCTGACATAAAGTCCACTGCAGATTCACGAAACACATGCAATGATGCCAAATGCAGGACGATCACAGCCCGTGGGTAGGAAGTCTTTGGGTCCAGTGGCGTTGTAAGCATCTCAGTGCTGGCAGGGCTCTCTCTGTGGCTTCTCTGGCTTCCGCAATGTCTTCCAGGAGGAAGTACCAGAAGTCTCATTGGCTATCTCCAGAATGACAGCCTAGACACCACCCCTACACTCTTAATCCTTAAATTGACACCAGATTAGGTGACTGTCACACTTACTCAATGGCCAACTTTCACATGCAAATGAGGCAACCGAAAATACCATGGCTTGGGTCATGCACATTTTAGTGCTCAAAATAACCTCCTTGCTTTTTAACACTTCAACGAGGTCTTGTGCAGCAGATGAACCCACTACAACACGGGTGCTCTGGACTGTCGCTTCCACAAGAGCATTTTCTCCAGTTATCAGGATGTTACCCATTGGTCTAGTTAGACAGTGAGCTGTGGTCCATTCACGTTGCAATCCTTGATTGTCATCAGCAAATGCTTCTGTTCTCCTCACGTTCAGCAAGCAAACCTTAAAAAAAACCTTGCGTTCACAATAACTGTGTCATATAAATAATAGGCGGTGTGGTTCTCAGGTGTCCCTAAGTTACATTTTCCTGCAAAGTGTCTGTCTGTCTGTCTGTCTGCTGATCTATGAGGTCCAGGCATCTGCATTTTTTAAGGGGCTACAGGTGGTTCTACCATGCTGCTAGGGTGACCCACCCCTGGCCAAGGCCGTTTCAAAGGGGCAAGTACATATTAGTTCTACAGGGATTTCAGGAGCCGTGGTTTCCTTAAACCATGTTAAGTGAACAGTCTTCAATCCAATCTGCATATGGGAGTGCTTCCAATTCTCTTGGCTTTCAGCAAGTAAAATTGTGCCATCTACATATCATACGTTGTTGATGGGCTTTTCCCCAACCTTGATTATGCCATGTTTTTCTTCATACAGCCCAGCATCTCTGATTATTTGCTCAGCATCCAGACTGCACCAGGTTAGTGAAAGGATACAACCTTGGTGCCTATCTTTCCTGATTTTTCACCATGCAGTATCCTCTTGTTTTGTGTGAGCGACGGCCGCCTCCTGGTCTGTGCACAGACTCCTCATGAGCACAGCGGTGTGTTCTGGAATTCCTGATCTTCTCAGTGTTCTCCGTGGTCTGTTAGGGTCCACACTGTCGATCAGAACACACTATGGATAAGTCTGTATCGTCAATAAAACACAAGTCCATCTCTTTCTGACCCTCTCTGCTTTTCAGCCAAGCCCCATGGGACACCAACAATGAGCTCTCATTCCACGTCCTCTTCTGAATCTGGCTTGGATTTCTAGCTCCACAGAACCTGTAAATCCCACACGGTTGGGATCTCGTCAGTCCAGAGCCAACACCCAGAGACCATTTACTGAATATGTGAATCGGTTAACCAAGCCACCCACTGACTGCCTGAAGGGAGGCGACCTCATCCCGGCTTCCTCCTGGGTTCTGCTCCGTGGTGCCACCGTTGGAAGGGAAGCTCTGGGGCGGGGGGTCCGGGAGGCAAAGAGGTGCCATTTGTCTTTTGATCTCCCATGGCACACAGTAGGCGATTAAGAAGTATTCTGGAAAAACCTGAAACGGCGATGTCTTGGTGAATGGCAGCAATGGAAGAGAAAATCCTACTTAGGAGCGTGGAGCCAAGAGTAGCAGGAGGAAATTAGATCTTTGAAGGTATTACTGCTCCTTGAAGAAAGAGCCATAAAGACTCCAAATTAGCCAGCTGGTGCTTAAAAAATGGCATTTAATGAGAGCCCTCTCCTGCAGGCAGCCAGCCAGCCACAGACAGGACCGTGCATGGCCTGGCCCGGCCCAGCACGCACCCATTTCAGCTCCTCGGACCCTTTCACTCCTTGATTAGTTCTGACGTCCTTGCCTTTCATCTTCCCTCCACCCGTGTTTCTGAGCCAAGGAACCCCAACAAGATACCCTTGAAAGCGCTTCGATGTGGTCTGAAATATGTTGGTAATTAGTGTAATGAAACCCAGGAGGAATTTCCTTAAACTCCCTCCTCTGGGCAGAATTTTAAGAACTAATAAAAGCATCTTTATCCGAGAAATAAGCCTGCCTCCCCCCTACCCTTCAAGGCTTAACTTCTACAGGAAACGAGATAAGCACCCTCTAAGACTAGGGCCCCCATAGCTAGTGTCCCCTAAAGCTAGTATCCCCAGGCACTGATGGCTGTAGGGCTCCAGTCACACCACTCCCCCATGGGGGAGAGTTCTGGCTAAGGAATATGGGGGCAGGAAATCTACCGGGTGAAGCCCTTTGGGGATGCTTAGCCCCAGTGTCACTTTCTGTCTTTCCTATGCAGCTATTGTAAGTGGCAAACTGGGGAGGAGTCACTCAAAGTCCTATCTGTCACTCTGAGAACTGCTCTCAGCCCCAAGGGCCCCACGGCCCTACTGTGCTGCATCCTGGCACTGTGCCCTCTTTGCACACCCCTCTTTGCAGCAGGCTCCCCGCCCTGGGGACAGCAGACCGACTGATCCCTCCGGTTCTTGTTTCTGAGAAGCTGACCTTGGGGCTGCCCCTGAAAGGGTGGCTTGCACTGAGGACACAAAAAAGGCGGGCAGCCAGTAGCAGCCAGGGAGGAGAGGTAAAGGAGGAAAACTTCAGGAAGAACTGAGACACAGACCCTGTGGTCCCCAGGAGGCAGAGAGAGGCCAAGGGCAGTTGCCTCCTTCAGGGTCCAAAAGCCAAAAGCCTACTGGCTCATTCCACCCAAGTCTCACGAGTCCTGGTGGCCTCCTTCAGACCCAGTGTGAGGGGATGCCTGCCACTGGCATCCAAGGGCTAGCCAGGAGAGTTTCCTGCCAGCCTCCACATAAAACCTAGAAACACACTTCCAAATTCTTCAAGGAACCGTGGCCACATCCCCTTACCTGGCTCAATGAATGAAGACCAGGGCGCAACTCGCTGTGGGTGGCACTCTGCACAGAAAGCTGGCGGGAACCCCTGCCTAGATGGACCTTGGGCCCCAGAGGATGGGCCACCACAGAGTCCCCATCAGTGATCGCGCCCGGTAGTCCTTCAAGGCCAAGTTACACTGAGCCAACACTTTTGTGATTGCCTTTATCGGCTGTGTTCAACTTTAGCTTGCTCGGGTGTTCACTTTATAAGTTCAGCAGTTTGGCTGGAAGGAGCCGTCAGATAGGATGTCAGAGCGTCCCCGGCCTTCGCAAGTTAAGAGAGGTGGTTGGCTGGGTGAGCTGCCACTGGATCCCTCTGCTGGCGCGGGTGCCCAGCCCTTACACTCTTGGTTTTAACCCCGGAGTGTGTAGTGATTAGGACTCAGGCTACGATCATATGGTCAGCAGTTTGAAACCACCAGCAGGGTCGCATGGGAAAGACTGGGCTTTCTACTTCCGTAAACAGTTACAGTCTCAGAAACCTACAGGGGGGTCGCTATGAATCCACATAAAATACCAGATAAAATAGCATCTGGGGTATTAAAGGCTTGTCTCTAAACAAGCAGCCATCTAACTGAGAGGTGCATTTGTGTTTTGGGGGGTTTTTTCATTCCTCAGATGGTGTTCAGAATCAGGGGCAGCAAATTCACCAAAAATTTATAGCTGATGTATTATTCCAGGAAATCTGTGGCAGACATTCTATTTTGTTTGTTCATTTTAGGGTGTATGTCATTGGGGGTCACCTGCTTGAAATTGTGTTATATGTTTTTCTGTTTTTTGGTAAATGAAACCCAGGAGTAATGAACCTAAAGAGACAGGAAGTCAAAGAAGGGTTTTATGGGGAAGGGGGTACAGGGATGGTGGGGAGTAAGAGGGAGACGATATCAAGTCCAGGAAGAAAAAATATGTTTGCACCTCACGTCTCAGCGAGGCGCAGCGGGCACAGCCCTGCTCGTGCTTCAGAAAGGTCATTCTGAAGAGATATCGTGACTCTCTTTGGATTAAGAGGTCCCTGCCCGGGTGGTCAAATGACCAACTGCGCTTAGCTGCTCAGCCAAACGTTGGGGATTTGAGCGCCCTGGAAAGGCACCTCAGAAGACAGGCCTGGAGATGGCCTTCTACAACCTCAACTGTTGAGCCCCTTGGGGAGCACCCCCAGGGTGCTGAGGTCACCAGGAGTTGGAAGCGGCTGTCCAGTAGTTAGGGGGCACTTGTATGAGTGAGATCCCGCACAATCCTTTGTTTCTCTTTAGGCTGGCGGAGGGGGGTCTTTCAAATGGAGTTAGTAAAGCTTTAGCACCAGAACATTCACTCCTCCTGGGGTCCTCATTACAGAGCTGTGTGAGAAGGGCAAAGCAAATGGGGGCAGCAAAATACCCCTAAGGTACCACGCACCGGGGCCTCACCCCCACCCCCACCCCCCCATCCCATGCAGATGGCTGGACGGCTGCCCCTGAGACTCTCAGCCCTGGTGCAGGCCACCAGGATGCATGTGGGATGGGCAGTCAGCCTGCCCCGCGTGCTTTCCCCACCATGACACCCACCAGCCAAGGGCCCGGCCCTGTGGAAGATAACCCTCCTTCCTTCCATTGCCTCCTGCCTGCGTTTGCATTTAAAAGGCAGGCTTCTCCTTCACCTGATCCACAGGGAGCTGGAAATGAGCCAGGCTTGGTAGGTGACAGGAGAGAGAGCCTTGGGAGCTCTCACTGTTTGGGGTCTTTTGTTGCTGGTGTTTGGTGGGAGGTGAAAAGGCAGTTCCTACCTTGGATCTCTGATAATGCCGTCGGGCCTCATCAGTCAGCGGGGAATGGTCTTTGGCCATCAAGTTCTCCACCGTGAGGAGATTGCTGTTCAGATGTTTGCAAAGCCACATGGCCTGGAGAAAGGGAAGAGGCAAAGGCCGCTTCAGCCCAACGGTGATTTTATTCAGAGAACTGTCCTCAAAGGCTAAGTCCTTCCACAGTCCACTGGAAAGGGCTGGCCAGGTGGGCGAAGGCATAGTTAATTCTGGCTGGAGGGAAGACACTATGGCAAACCCATAAATTACCTTGTAGCCAAGACTTCTACTGTATCATCTCGTCTTCATCCAACCAGGGACCCTTAAAGGAGTTGAAAACCTGCAAAAGGGCTATGCTTCTTCGGTGCTATTGGCATGGCTTTCCAAGTTCCTTGGACCATGAAGGTTTAGCTCAAGCGTTTAGAGCAGGAAATGAGAGGAAGGGGCCTACATGTGGGTCACAGTCCATTCTCAATGTCCATTTTCCTTCCAGGATGGAGATGCCAACAAAATATTTGATAAGTGGAGGATGACCACAGATACTCTAAATGGGAATGATAGATATTAAAAAATAATATTTTTGAGCTGATACCAAGGGCTTTAGTAGAAATAAATTGTTTTGGAAATTTTGATGGCAACACATGTACAAGTGTGCTTAATGCTATTGAATGATGGATTTTTATAGGTGCCCCCCAATAAAATGACTAATTTAGAAAAATTTAAAAATAAAATTCAATAAATGTTTCTCCTGAAAAAATACTATAACGTGTTCTTAACATGAACATTATGTGTTGGACAGTTCAGCATTGGGATAATCTGAAGTCCCCCAGGCTGATGTGAACTTTAACTCTCTCTCTTCTCTGTACTAAGAGTTAAAAAAAATTTTTTTTTTAATTAAACTCACTGTCATTGAGTCAATTCTGAATCATAGCAATGTTTCTGAGACTGTGACTCTTTATGAGATTAGAAGCCTCATCTTTCTCCCTTGAAGCAACTGGTAGTTTTGAACTGCTAATCTTGCAGTTAGCAGTCCAACAAGTAGCCCACTATGCCACCAAGGCTCCTTGCTAGGAACCTGCAGGGAAAAGACCCCTAAGTGCCCTCTCAGGTTCTCTGCTTGGGTTTTACTATGTCATATGTGAGCATTGTAAAATTAGGTCTGTCTATCCCTGATAGGCTAAGGAGCCCTGGTGGTGTCATGGTTACCTGCTGGGCTGCGGACCCCATGGGTCGGCAGTTTGAAACCACCAGCAGGGTCGCATGGGAAAGACTGGGCTTTCTACTTCCGTAAACAGTTACAGTCTCAGAAACCTACAGGGGGGTCGCTATGAATCCACATAAAATACCAGATAAAATAGCATCTGGGGTATTAAAGGCTTGTCTCTAAACAAGCAGCCATCTAACTGAGAGGTGCATTTGTGTTTTGGGGGGTTTTTTCATTCCTCAGATGGTGTTCAGAATCAGGGGCAGCAAATTCACCAAAAATTTATAGCTGATGTATTATTCCAGGAAATCTGTGGCAGACATTCTATTTTGTTTGTTCATTTTAGGGTGTATGTCATTGGGGGTCACCTGCTTGAAATTGTGTTATATGTTTTTCTGTTTTTTGGTAAATGAAACCCAGGAGTAATGAACCTAAAGAGACAGGAAGTCAAAGAAGGGTTTTATGGGGAAGGGGGTACAGGGATGGTGGGGAGTAAGAGGGAGACGATATCAAGTCCAGGAAGAAAAAATATGTTTGGAAACTGATTGTGGAAGCAATTGTACAATTCTGCTCAATGTGATTGAGCTATGGAATGATATATGTATTAATTCTCAATTAATAATATATTTTTAAAAAACATAGATCCAGGAATGGGTTTGGGGCTCGCACTAAATCCTAGCTCCAATTTAAGAACAATTAGTTTTTACACCATACGCCTGCTTGATACTCACCCTCAGGATGGGAACACAGAAGATATGGGTGCTAGAACAAAATGTGGTGAAAAATTTAGATGGTACCCAGCTACCAGATAAAATAGCATCTGGGGTCTTAAAGGTTTGTCTCTAAACAAGCAGCCATCTAACTGAGAGGTCAACTAAGTCCACATGGAAGAAGCACACCATCATCAATCGCTGAAGGATTGGAATCCATATAATCTGAAATTGAAGGAAGGATTAATATCAGAGCCTAAACTGTGAGAATCTGGTTTGCAGAAGGCGAGGGATGACAGTGGGAGCCCAAGATTCATTTGGGGGAACGACATAGGAAGCAAGGCTCCAGAGAACTCCCTCTATCCACAACTGAGGGAGGCAGGACAGTGGTTACTACACAGAGGGCACTGGAGGGCACAGAAGATCAAAGGCCTCAATCTGACTTGAACAGTTAAAACTTTGTCATTGATTTGCATGTTGGATCTGATCTGGTTTTCAACCTTTTCTGTGTTTTTGTTTTGTTTGTTCAAATTAGGGTGTATCTCAGAGGTGTTATATCACTGCCGGTCGCCCTCTTGAACTTGTGTTACATGATATTCTGTATTAAAGAAAAAACAAGGTTTAGAACTGAAACACCAGGGGAAAGCTGTCAGAATCTGATCTCATCAGGGAGTCCAAGCCCCAGTGCCTCTGCCAGGTTGGGACTTGTAAAGGAAGGTGTCTGGTGCTTCGCATCACAAACACTTCATTAATTCTACCCAGCAAATCCTACCAGTGATGCTGACAAGAACTAGACCTGGGAAGGCAGCAAACACGGCTCAGAGATCAATTATTCCAAAGACAAAGGAAAAACCTTCGACCGGAAGCAGAGCCTCGGGCTGAGCAACCTGCTTCTTCTCTACAACAAGGCTGCCAGCTATGGTGTCCTCTCAGTGCACTCAACTGTTTGTCATGGTTCCCAAGATCGGAATTACCTGGGCAGCATTTCCAAAACTACTTTCCTCAGCCCTAGGAGCATTGACGGTGCGGTGCGGTAGGTAGGCATTGGATTACTCGTCGCAAGGTCAGTGGTTCAAACCCACCAGCAGCTCCGCAAGAGAAAGTTGAGGCTGTCTGTTCCTATAAAGATTTACAGCCTAAGAAACCCTGTGGTCGCTATGAGTCAAAATTGACTGGATGGCAGTGGGTTTGGTCCGTCCTCCCTGCCCCTTCCCCCCAGGCCCCATCTCACAAAATTCTGATTCGGAACTGGAAGAGAATTCAGAAACTCTCATAGTTCTCTAGTGCTCCTCTAACAAACAGACCACAAGGGGTGGCTTTCACAAACAGAAATTCGTTCTTCCACAATTCAGGAGGCTAGAAGTTGAAATTCAGACCACGGGCTCTCTAGGGGAAAGCTTTCTCTCTGCGTTGGTGCTGAATGCGGGTGAGGATCTCTTCAGCTTCTACTTCCTGCTTCGTTGGAGATCCCTGTGTATCTTGAGCTCTATCTTAGCCCATCTCTGCTTCTCATTTGCTTGCTTAATCTCTTGAATTAATTCAACAAGCACCCTACACTCAGCCTGCTTCATAACAAGGCCAGCTCATTCTCAAATGGGATGATAACCACAGGCATAGAGGCTACAATTTACAACACACATTTGGGCGGGAGGGGCACATTACAGGAACCTATATATTTCAAAGCACCTTGGGTAATGCTAATGACTGGCAGCTTGGGAGGCCCTGGTTTCTAACAGCAAAACAGGGAGTGTTGTTGGATTTAGAGAGGTTGATGGCAGAAAGGAGTAAAACTTGGCATATGATGTTGAGAAATGGAATAGAAGAACTACAGAGATAGAAGGATGGATGGATTCCCCTCCCCCCAGAAGAATTCACTTCAGAGGACAGCACTGAAGCTACAGCTCAGGGAGAGGGACATGTCTGATCAGAGCACACGGGA